CCCACAGGACTACTCAGTGTCTCTGTGAGGTGATCAGGCTCCCCTTCTGCCTCTTAAAGGCCGGCCTATTATTTGAAACTGGGTTCTTACTAGTGTGATGGCAAGGCTCCCAATTGCTTCCTGAGCCTTCTCTGAGTTCCTTTGTGCAACTGAGACTTGCTTTCCGGTGAGCCAGGAGAGGTGAGTCCCTCTGGATCAACAGATTCACATGCAAAAGGCTGAGCCCCAAGAACAGAGGGGCTTTGCCTTATATACCCTTGCAAGTAGGTTACAGAAGCAGGAAGCAGAGTTTAACTCATATACGGCTGCATGCATCTCTATGGCTGCTTCACCCTCAGTGTTATATGACCTTCCTCACGTTCACATTCTTTAAGCTTTATCTCCCTGCCATGCCATCCCCTCCTCCCTGCTACACTAGGAGCCCGAGATCCTCTTTACCCTCACAGCTGCCCCTCAAGGACTGTGGGACAAGGGCCAGCAAGCCACTGACCTTCTCTGCCCTCTGGATCTCGAGCTCAAAGCAAAGGATTTCAACAACATTGCTGTAAAGTCTCTCCCAAGGAAAGCATTCTGTATGGGCTCCCATTTTCTTCAAACTTTTCTCTGTGTTTTGGGGAGTGGGTGGGCAGGATTTAATATATGGCCACTGGGGACATGTGGACATCCCTCTGCACCCCAACCTCCCCATGTACAGAAGAACTGGGAGAATAGCATAACGTTTTTGCCAGCAGAGAGGACCGTGGCCCACACATTAGCTTCCTGTCTGCACAAGCATTTGGATGTATTTGTTCCATAATTGAAGTCAAGCTCTGCAAACAGTTCTCCTCGTGTCTTTGGTGTTAGATTCTCAGCCTTCTGAGTATCCTTCAAAGAGCCGTTTTGTCTCGCATTCCTCTTCATAAATGCATTCATTGGCTCCATCAGAGGCTCTGCTGCAGCCAGCGGGTGATTAAAGGGGTGTTGATAACTGCTGCTCTTTTCAGGAGGCAGGAGGGAAGTCAGCGAGGGCTGGTGGAGGGGTGCCATAACACTTTTTAAAATTTTTAGACAGTGCTGCTCAAGGCACCTGTGCCCTTTGGAAGCTGAACTGACAATGAGTAGCATGGGATTTCACTGCAACATTTTTTGGGGGGTTGGGGGTCTCTCAGAGGTAGGGTTATTTGGGCTGGTTCTAGTGCTCCTGGTGGTGTCAGGTTTAGTATAATCTCTCCAGCACTGTGTCCTAAAAGACCTTCCGGAACATTGTCAGTTCCCCCATCTCTAATGTCTTATGTAAACACCCAACTGTCACTCAGACACTATGTCCACTTACTCTGTCTCTGTTTTTTCTTTGTTTTCTTTGGTTGTTTTTGAGATAGGGTCTTGCTTTCTGCCCAGGCCAGCCTGGACTGCGATTCCATTTCTGCTTCCCCATGTAGCTGAGATGTCAGGCACACGCACAGCATTGGTTAAGATCGGAATCTAGAAAAATTTTTGCCGGTGCTGGCCTCAAACCTCCTGATCTTCACCTTCCAAGTAACTAGGATTATAGGTGTGAGCCACTGCACCTGGCCTAATTTTCTTTTCTTTTCTTTTTTTGCAGTGTGGGGTTTGAATTCAGGGCTTCACACTTGCTAGGTGGCTGCTCTACCACTTGAGCCTCATCCAGCCCTCTGTCTCTTAAATGTTCTTCTACCCTGTGTCTTTCCCACCAGACTAACACGGCAGTCGTAACAGCAGCTGAGACGCACTGACTGTCTCAGTGTGCCTTGACGCTGTAAGGTAGACCTGTGCAATAAATTATACAAATTTAAAATTTACTGTTTGAATGTTGGGTGCATTCACAACATTGTTTATCCACCACCTCCTGACCAAAGGAAGGTGTATATCAACATGTAGATTCAGAGAAGGTGGAGGTGGGCAGAGGAAGAGAGAAATGGTCTGACTCAGCTGCGATTTGCACTTCATGAAAGAGGAAGGGATTTCCCGCCTTTTACAGTACAGTGAGTCTCTTGAATCAGACAGATGTCACTACAGTGATGCAGGAAGTTGGAAGTAATAACATCCTAGAAAAACACAGGCTCTCTGGACAGTAGGCACCGTGTTCCAGTGGGAGAGCAGACACTGGAGTCCGGCAGAGCAAAGCTGTCAGGTGTTAGCTGCTGCGCCATTTGTCTGTCGGGAGAGTGGGGATAACACTTGCAGGATGGGTGCAGGTTGAATGAGATAAAGTACAAAACCTGCAGTATTAGGGTTCTTGCTGCCATGTACATCAGCACACGCCAGTGTGTTCCCTCAGCGATGGACGCTCACAGTTATGAAGGCTGAAATTCAAGGGTTTGTCCGGCCACGTTCCTGCTGAAGATGCTCTAGAAGCACCTTCCCTGTTTCTTCCCAGCTTCTCGTGGCTCCAGAAACCCCCAGCTTTCCTTGCCCTGTGACAGTGTACTCTGACCTCTGACCTCTGCCTCCAGCTTGACATGGCCACCTCTGTGTGTGTGTCTCTGTGTGTACATCTTCCTCTCCTTATGCACCGTCACTGGATTTAGGACCAATGCTAACCCAATGGACCTCATCTTCACTTGATTATATTTATAAAGACCTCATTTCCAAGTAAGAGCACACTCTTGGGGACTGAGGGTTAGGATGTCGACATATCTTTTTGGAGTACACAGTCCAACTCACTATGGTTGCTTATCCCAGAAATGGGTATGTTGTGGTGATTAAGATCACATTTCCCCACCTCCTACCTCTCTTCCCACCTGAGAAAACAAGTGATTTTGTTCCTATTGAGAGCAGACCTTGGAAACAGATTGCCAACCCCTGGCTCCTCTGTTCTCTTTAGAGACAGATTTTTTTTTCTTTCTCCTTTCTGTCAAAATTTAACATGGCCTCTAGGCACTGCTCTTCCTACTCAACCCAGTTATTGATTTTTTTCTTGTCCAGTAAGTACGCAGTTAGGGCTCAGAGCTCAGAGGAGTTGTCCCAGCATGAATGGAGAACCTGCATTTCATCTTGGTGCTAATCAAAACCAAAGATTCTGGAGGTCAGAGGAGGAGACAGAGTTGAGGTCCCCAGTCATCTCTGGATGGAGGCTGGTGAAGGTGGTACCATCCTTTTTTTGGTGAGGGTACTGGGGTTTGAACTCAGGGCCTCTTGCTAGGCAGGTGCTCTATCAGTTGAGCCACTCCACCAGCTTGTTTTTATGTTGGGTATTTTCAAGATAGGGTCTTGTGAACTAGTTATTCAGGCTGGCTTTGAGCTGTGATCCTCCTGATCTCTGCCTTCCTAGTAGCTAGGATTACAGGCGTGAGCCATCAGTGCCTGGCTGGCACCATTCTTTGATTCAGGCTTTAATAAACATCTATATAGAATGGAAGCTTCATTTTGCCCAACTTGGCTTTGACGGTCTGGAAGGCTGGGTTGATCTTGTTGGTCTGTCCAGAAAGGTTTAACCTTGACTCCCATCTGCATTGTGGTGTCAGGAGTTAGGGCTGGGTCAGTTGCCTTCTGGCTCCTGAACAATAAATGTTCCCATTGTTGGAAGCCATTTTAATCAAACTTGTTGACACAAGTTGGCTTCTCCCAAAGCAGCTATTGAGACAGAGATGGGGTATAATATTTCTGGCATAGCTGACCTGGACTGCCCTCCTTAGAAAGGGCCACTTGCAGGGTTGACCTTGGGCTGTTGTCTGAGAACTTGACTCGGGAGGATTCGCAATAGTCCTCAGACTGAGAAGCATGACTCACTGTGACTAAACCAGTTTTATTAAAAAAAGAAAGTACAGTTTTTGGAAGATAGGAAGTTTGACTATGGGGGATTTTGTACTTGCTAAGCAGAGAGGCCCACGTGACCAGCCCTGAATGAAAACTGGCTACTGAGTCTCTGCTGGGCCTTCCAGGCAGGCATCCTTGCTCACAAGTTGTCACAGCTCATGGCTGGAGGAGTTAATTGCATCCTGTCCTGGTCCTGTGTGTCTGCTCTGGGGGTTGACTCTTGGTAGGTCATGCCTCGTTTCCCCTGTCCTTCACCCGATGGACAGTTCTTTCACCCTTACTGATTTTTGCAGTGTGACTCAGCTGAGTTGGACTGTAAGCTGAGTCTGTGAGTTCGCCAATGAACCATCAAACCTGTGGATGTTCTTGGGGACCCCACATAATCAGTGACCCCTGAGACAGGGGGGAGGATGAATCAGGATTGGGAGGAGGAAGAAACTGGATTGTGATTTGGCTGATAGAGTCTCTGTCAGCCTGACAGGAGGCGGTGGTGGAGCAAGTGCTACCTGTCAGGTGCCCTCCTCAGGCTGAAATGGCTGGCTTTCACACCCCTGCTGTGCTCTGCCACCAGATGTGACAGGAAGCAGGTGACCTCAAGTGAGTGACTCTGTGCTGCTGACTCTGACCACAAAGCTGAGGCTGTCTACTGACCACACTGCCCACAGCTGGGCACTGAGTCCCTCCTTGTCGGCCAGTCATGCTCACCTCTAAGAGCTCCCCTGCTACCTGTCAGTGCCTGGAGCTTCAGTGGGGCGTCCCTGCCACGTGGATCCTCTGTGTGCCCCTATGGTCTTGGCTACACCTCTGATGCAGAGTCCTCCTTTAGCGGGGCTGGTAGACCATATTCAGGTCTCTCCCCAGCCTCTGCAAAATTCTTCCCCTCGCTGTTGGAAAATTGCCCAGATTCCTAATATGGCCTTAGATTGGTGCATCTTCAGTTTGAGAATTTAGCATTCTTGAATGCCTGTGACACCACAGGTTGGGGGCTACATGGCCCTACTGTATGCACGTCTTTACCTGTCACTCCTTGAAGCACCAGTCCTTTCAACACTGTGTGAAAACTCAGGCTCAGAGGAGGCTGGTGAGGGCCCCCAGGAAACCAGCCCACCGCTGGAAGAGCTGGGTCCCCACCCATATGTGTCTTCCTGACTCTGTGCCTTCTCCTGAGATCCTAGGTCTTCTGCCTGACTTGGGAGATGGGCAGTGCAACCATGAGGGAACCTCACTCTCTTATGTCCCTGCAGGTTCTGCCCAACCATGGTCTCCATGCTGCAGGCTTCTTCGTTGCCTTTCTCATCTCCCTGGTGCTGACTTGGGTAACACTTTTCCTCATGGCACGGTGTCAGTGTCTACAGAGAAGTGTGCTGGACAGATGCTGGGTGAGTCTCACTCCCAAGGTGGTTTGCTTGTTGGTGGTGTGAGGTGGGTATTCATCTTCCAGCCTGGTGGGTCTCAAACCTGGACTGATGCTACATCTAGCCGGGGCCCTAGCTGGGGACAAATGCTTACCCTTGGGATCCCCAGAGATGGATTCACTTGCCCTGGGTTCGTCCCAATCACTAGTCCTTCATGAAAGGTTCCTGGATGATTGTTCTGTACATTTTAATTTAATTTTTATGGATACATAAATGTTATGGGAAACTTGAACAGAGACACGGGAGTCTGAGGCGAGAAAGCAACACTTTATTGTGCCAGCACAGACTCAGCGGACTCGTGTCCAATGGCTGAGCCCCAAGAACAAAGGGGTCTCACCTTAAGGACTCTTGTAAGCAGGTTACAGAAGCAGTAAAATAAAAAAGACAAGGTTTAACCCATATATGGCTATATGCAGTTCTATAGGCTACTTCACCCTAGTGCTAAGTGCCCCTCTACCCCAGTGCCATGTGACCTTCTTCACGTTTAGATTCTTTAGGTTTTATCTCTCTGCCATGCCATCCTTTCCCCCACTGCTACTTTTTCAGAACACAGGCCTGTCTATTTCTCTCTGGTCCTCCTCCCTGCTACATAATAATTGTACATACTTATGGGGTACAGTGTGGTTTGTTGATCATGTGCACAGTGTGTGATGACCAAGTCAGGGTCACGAGCACAGCCATCACCTCGAACAACCATTTCTCTGTGTGGGCCTGATAGACTGCAATACCAGGGGAACCAGGCAGGGTAACATCAGACACACTCCCAAGATTAGACCCACTGCTCCTATCCCAAGGCAGAGAACCACCTGCCAAACAGACTGTCTGAGTCCCATCCTTTCCACACCTGTAGGGGTACATGTGCCATCTTTCTAATATTAGTGGCAATTTCCGATACTGCTTGACTGTTGTCACCTATGTGGAGGCAACAGTTTGATCAGTTGAACTTGCCACATACTCCCCCCTCCTCAGCTAAAAGATAATCCAAGGCCAGGTGATTCTGATATTTGTGGCTCACATTTGGGTCTGTTGCTTGGCCAGTAGTGCTAGGGCAGAGGCAGTCTGGTTGGTAATAGTTTATGTGACTGCCTGTAACGTAATGATTCGGTTGAACATATAGATAGGAGTCTGGTAACTGCAGCTCCCATCCTGTGCCCAGGTGGCTGGTCCATAGGTCTCAATAATCCTCTGCGAAGGCCATTCGTCTTCTCCCCATCTCTGTTGGCCCCCCACCTCGAGGTCCCTTTTTATTCTGGGCCCCAGAGTTCCATAAAGGGGAACTCTTAGATGTTCCCCTTGGAGACTGGGCAAGAGGAAGAACCCAGGCTGGATAACTCCTATAGTACAGCTCCCTTCCAAGTCCTAGGGAGTTCAGTATAAACTCGTTTCCCACATATCCAGAATAACCCATCCAATGCCCTCCACCACCCAGGGTCAGTATTGGTGAGGTTATTCCAATATTTGCCAATTTTAGGGATTCCTTGGAATGGGTTTGTCTTGCTGGTAGTAGAACAATTTAAGAGACTGTCACTGGTTGGAGAATCATTTGGGAACAGTTTTCCAAAGGGGGCAATGTCCAGTACCATTTTGGCTCATTGGGCCACCACGTTAAATTAGTTCCATTCCAACAGAGTACCCCTTTATAAGGGGTTTTCCCCACCCACTTTTCATACTCTGACCCATTTCTTTTGATACATTTTTCCCCAGTTACCTCCGATGTGGGGATCCAGGACTGAGGTCATTATTCTCTTATCTAGTTATTTATTGATGCCACAATAAAAGTTGGCAAGCATTTAAAACAGTCCCTTTCCAAGGCCATTCCTCACTCATGAGGGTATCTCTGCACACCCAGCAGTTTGAGACATTTAGTTCTTTAGCAATCCTCTCTGCCAGGTCTACAAAAAGATTTTTTTCTATTGTCAGGTCTACAAAAAGATTTTTTCTATTGTCAGGAGGTCCAATCCTTTGCCTAATTCATCTCTGATTTTATTATACAGTGGCCCAGTGCTTTGAGTGGCAGCTGACACCAGTCTGGGTGAGAGTACCTCTGACACCCGGTGTGCTGTCTCTGTAACAAGCTGTGTCCTGGACTCCCCCGACTTCCAGAGCTTCCCCAGTATCCCAAGTACATCAGCAGACCCATTCTCCCCACTTTCCATGACAAATAGTGCCTGCATTGTTCCCCTTACTCTGGGACTTCCAGTATCGCCTACCAACAACCTCACAAACCTGAGCAGTATATGAGCTGATGTAACATCCATCCTGTTGGCAGGTGTATGATACAAAGTATGGCTGTGCAGTGGTCCCAGCAAAGGCTCTCTTAAAACATTCATCACATGTTATAACCTTGCAAGAGCCAGTCCAAATAGTAAGAGTCCAAGTGTGTAGAGGAAAACAGGTACATCCCATTTTTGAGCTTCCATTGTGCATAGACTAGAGTAGTGCTGTCATTTTGTTGTTTGTGGTCCCCTGTTGTTTCCTGGGAAGCAGAGTCCTGTTGAGGGGGATGCTGATGTTCTGGAGGGTGATCCTACATGGTGAAGCCAGATTGGGGATACACTTCCACTCAAGAAGCTGGCTTGACTTGGCTGTCATGGGGCCAAGGAGCTATCTCTGCTACTTTAACTGCAGTGGGGGTAGACAAAATAACAACAAAAGGGCCTGTCCAGTGAGGCTTTAATGGTTGGACATTCCATTCCTTTATCCAGATGGCAACCCCTGGCCTGTAAGGTTGCGTGGGAGTTGTCAGGCTGACAGGAAGTCTCTCCCATACCTAGTCATTGATCTTTCAGAGAGTCAACCCGAGGCCCTACATCTGCTGCCTCCAGGTGAAGTCACCTGTTTCCTTAAGGTCCCTCCTTATGCCCTCCTTATGTGCTCCACTTTTCCTGAACTCTGCGGGCAGTAGGCCATATGCAACTTCCAGATGATTCCTAAGTCCTTAACCATTAGCTGTGTCACCTCTGCTACAAAGGCTGGTCCATTATCTGATCCAATTGACACAGGTATTCCAAACTGAGGGATGATTTCCTTTAACAGACATCTGGCCACCTCCTGGGCATTTTCAGTTCATTTGGGGAACTTCCCATCCTGAGAAGGTACAAATGAACACCAATGGATATTTGCATCCTCGAGCTTGTGGCATTTCAGTGAAGTCCACAATCAAGTTTTCAAGAGGAGTTCCACCAATGCTCTGTACCTGAGGGGAACTTTTGGCCCTTGTCTGGGCTTATTTTTAGCACCTAGACTACATCTCTCACATACGGCCTTACTTCTGCTGGAGAGCTTGGGGACATAAAAATGCTGGGCCAGGGTGGTCTCGAGGGCTGTTAGCCCTGAGTGAGTTCCTTTGTGGAACTGCTTGACAAATATAAGGGCCAGTTACTCAGGTATGGCAATGTGGCCATCAGTAAACATCCACCATCTGTTTGGTAGAAAATTTCCCTCCTCAGTCTTACTTGTGGTGTGTACTGTGGGTCTCATTCAGATAAGGGGCAAAGGAACAAAGCCATCAGGACATTTGGGGTTGGTCCCCTTGTGAAGGCCACTTGTTTGGCCTCTGTCAGCTTTCCTGTTTCCCTGGGCAATTGTTGCATCTCCTTTCTGGTGCATAACTGCCACCCATTTAGGGGCCCATACAGCATCTAGCAGTTCAAAGATTTCCTGCCCATGCTTGATACTTTTTCCTCCCGAGTTAACGAGTCCCCTCTCTTTATATAAGTCTCCATGGACATGAGTGGTTATGAAGGCATATTTAGAGTCAGCGTAGATGTTTACTCGTACTCGTGCAGTGAGTTGGAGTGCCCACATAAGGGTGACAAGTTCACTCTACCAGCAGTGAGTGAGCCTCAGTAACTGAGTCCAAGGTCACCACTGCTTACCCAGCAAAGCGTGTGCCATCCTGGACGAAACTGCTGCCATCTGTGAAATATTCAACATCCAGATTGCCAATTGGCTGATCGTTAGATCTGGCTGGCTCCAGAAAACTTCATCCGTAACTTCTGAGCAGTCATGCTGTGGGGGAAGGGGGGCCTGAGTCAATTAGCAATAGAGTTCCCAGGTTTAGAGTCTTAATAATCTCCAGCTGGATGCACGGGTTTTCATGTAACATAGTCTGGTATTTGACCACCTGAGAGTTAGTCAGCCAGTAATTTCCCTTATACTCCATGAGTGTCAGGACAGAATGGGGAACCTGGACTGTGAGTTCCTGCCCTAGGGTGAGCTTGTCTTCTTCTGTCACCAGGGTGGCGGTGGCTGCTAGGGCATGCAGGCAAGGTGGCCAGCCCCAGGAAACAGCATCAAATGTTTTGACAAGTAAGCCACCAGACGGTGCCAGGAGCCCAGTAACTGAATCAGGACCCCAATAGCTGTTCACTTTCACTCGTGGACATACAGGAAAAATGGCTTCATCACATCCTGCAGGCCTAGAGCAGGGGCACTGGTGAGTGCCTTCTTGATTTCTTTAGAGGCTTGCTCTTGCTCGTTCCCCCATACCAAAGGCTCACATTCACCCCCTTTTGTGGCTTCATAGAGGGGTTTGGTCAAGAGAGACTAGTTAGGAATCCAAATTTGACAGAAACCTGCAGGTTCCCAAAACTATAATTTGCTGGCAAGTCTTAGGGACTGGGATGGAACATACAGCCTGTTTCCTCTCAGGGCTGAGCCTGCATTTCCCCTGGGACAGGTGAAAATTGAGGTGTTTGCCAGTGGTTTTTGCAAATCTGGGCCTTTTCTCTAGAGACTTTTTGTATTCTGCTTCCCATAAAAGAGAAAGGAAAAGGCATGTCCCTTTCATACAGTCCTCTTGAGTTGGTCCAGCCAGCAGGAGGTCATCTACATACTGGAAGAGAGTGCAGCCATGCTGGTCAGCTGAGATGGCTTTAGGTCAGATTCCAAGGTGGTTCTGAAAATAGTGGGTGAATTTTTGAAACCTTGTGGCAACCGAATCCAGGTTATTTGTCTCCTTT